AACAAATCACTTATTGAAAAGCCTCCCGGAACTAATGAAGTTCGAGAACTGATGTTCCACTGTACTGAGTTCAGAAATACCCCTAGGCCTAATGTTTCATATCTCTCTAACTGATTAATCCATTTCTAAGATATACTATAATAAGAGGGGATCACAGTAGATAAGGGCAAGAATTATCCTCTTTATGTGAATGCTTACCTTCTATGAATTTCACTCAGTCATCTGTGAATAACAGTAGATTTGAGAGGAAGTTTAACCAAGAAGAAAGGAGTACAATGCTCTGAACTCCGCTTTTATGTTTCCTCTCAAAGACTGTGACCAAGAGAAGTCAGATTTTATGAAAGAAATACAGTAGCTGCATTTTACAATGCTGATATTAGAGGTTACTGCCAATATCCTCAGTATAAGCTAAATGTATTACTGAGATTTCAGGGCAAGGAGTTACATTTTAAGAGAGCATGATCTGACCTGTGGTATATCCAAATCTAAACCATGTTATAACAAGCTTCTATTGTGTTCCTCTTGAGATATTTTTAAAGAATAATGAATTAACCTTTGAGAAGTACTATGAGACCTTCAGACTAAAGAAGACTATATCAAGTATCAATTCAGTGCCCCTAACAATATTCAGTGTATCTAGTAGTAAACAGACTGAAAATAATCAGTAAACCATTCACTGTAGTCCCCTTGGTATCATAGCAGCACAGTTAACATGCTAACAGCTAAGCTTCATGCGCTTAGAGGAAGAAAATGATCAATGGCAAAGAGCATATCCACCTGTGAAATGACATGATCCATTATAAGAATCAACTGTTAAATTGCTTCCTGTACTGAGCGCACTCAATTAAAAGATTGCACAGTGAGATCATCTCGATGGTTAAATATGCTCTGTGGGAACAACCTTCGAGGAGCTTAAATATCACAGAAGGACTATTCCTACCATGACAATGGAGATTTGGAAGGCATCTCCTTCCCCTATTTTTCAAGTTGGTAGTTTTTATTAGTAATCCTTTAGCCTGAGAGGCTGCTGAGTTTTGGCTCATACCTATCCACCCTTATACTTCTTTGAGCAAGAGATGCTTTTAGTGTTCTTTTTTCTATTGGGTCCAGAATAGATGAGTGTGGCTTTAGACCAGGGTCTCTGGACAAATATGTCATTCATGCACTTGATATTTTATATCCTTTCTCTCCTTGAACTTTCCTATTTCAGTAAAATAATCTATCCACAGTATTCCCAGCTCCCTGTCTAACTCTTCCTTCTTTCTTTGATGGGGATGAGGGTGGAGGGCTGAAAAGAAAGTTAGACATTAAAAAAAAAAATCAACAGACTGAGAGTCTACTTTCAGGGTTGCAATTAGTCAAGTCTATGGCCATCGACAAGCTATTTAACCTCTCGGGCCCTCAGTTTCCTTATGTTTCAGAAGGTTGTATATTTCTTGTTCATTGTTTACTGTCTGTCTCTCCTTGCCAGACAGTATAGTATAGTGATTAAACACACAGAATGTGAAGCCAGAACACCTTAGTCCAAATTCTAACTCGGACACTTGTTATATGGGTAACTTTGGGCAAGTTCTTTTGTACTTCACTTTTTTCATTTGTAAAGTGGGAATAATTATAGTACTTATCTCTTAGATTGTTATGAAGATTAAGTGAATATTCATATGTATAACACTTAGAATAATGCCTAATATATAACTGCTATGCAAATATGTGCTCTAATAATAGTACTGTTTTAAACTTGAAGCTCTAGGCCAAACTATATCTGACATATGGAAGAATGGAATGTGTTCAATAAAATTCAGTAATAAAATTAATAATCAGATTAGATCCATACAATACAGCCCCATAATGCCCAGTCACTTCCTTTTTGTAACCCTCCTCTGACATGCTCAATGTGCCTCCCCCTACACTGTAAGTTCCTTTTGTGCAAGGACCATGACCATCTTGGTCACCACTATATCTTTAGCACCTAGCACATAGTACGCACACATATATTTGCTAAGTATATAAAGGAATAATTTTTAAAGATTTGCAATTTAGTCATTATTACATTATCTTTAGCATTTTAATGATTTTAAAAATTATAATATGCAATCTTCTCTCCTATATTATTTCTATGTGAAGCAGCAAAATTTTGCACAGTGAAGTATTAGATTACAATAAATTCTATTAACAGAGATTCTCCTGTTTATACCACAGGATTGCAGACTTTTGGGTTCATGAGCTAATTCAGTGGCACAGAAGGTCTCACAGAGCACCTATAGCTCCTGTTTATCACATGTCATTTTACATCCTTAACAAAAATAGGCACAAGCTTTGTAGGAGTTATCACTTAGTAATTCTACTCATTTAATGAGCACATGGTCTGAGGATAAGAAGACAAGTTATAAAGAATGATCCCTTCCGTAGGAGGGTAAGAGATCAACCAAAGGACTTG